GCTGAAGAAGAGAAGAAATTAAGAAGATATCTTCTCAAAGTTAACTTCTCTTCTGACAAATGTATCTGTGAAAGATAAAGAAGAGAAAGAAAAGAATTGACAATTCTCACATCTCTGAGTTCATGTTACAATCACAATGTATACTCTGAATGAAGAGATATCAGTGAGATGTCTACTTGACTTCAGAGTGAATACTAACTTCATATTCTATTTCTTTTCTTTGATAAAGAGTTGAAAGAAAATAGGCCTGTCAGACCATGTGAAATTTACAGATGAAATAAAATATCACTGTTTTGACATAATTCAAGCAAAGTGTGTAGTCACAGACTCAGAAGAAATCTTCAAGAAGAGCAGTCTGCTTCTTCACACAGTTAATATCATAGATGAGAATGTCATTCTAGATCTTCTATGATTGAGAGAAAACAATTCTCTCATTGACTGAGTCACTCAGATGTGACAGTATCACCTCACTAATGAAGAGACAGTGATAGAGAAATCTGAAGAGTTTCATCAGAAGAATCTTAAGAAAAAGATTGAGTCAATATACTGCATAGCAGGTGATTGGGACTTGAAAACAGATGAAGAAGCCATCACTCTCACTGCAAGATTAGCAGCAGTATTCATCATTGAAGATGAATATACACAATATCTCTTTACAGATTTTAAGAATGTCTTTTCAGAAAGAAAAGCAGCAAAGTTTTCTGACATCAAGATATAACATAAGATTCATCTTAAAGATGATGCAACAGCACTGTATGAATCTCTTTATAACTTATCTGTAAAGAAGTTGAATGTTCTGCACAAATATCTTGAAGAAGTGCAATCAAAGAACTGAATACATTTATCAAAGAGTTCAGCAGAGACATCTATACTCTTTGTGCTTAAGAAGAATGATAGACTACATCTATGTGTAGACTACAGAGGCCTCAATAAGATGATAATTAAGAATCACTATTCATTATCATTAATTAACAAGATGATTGATCAATTATCTGAAGCAAAGATATTCTCAAAGATTGATATATAGAATGCCTATCATAGAATCAGAGTTAACAAAGATGATATTTGAAAAACAGCTTTTTATATCAAGTACAGCAATTTTGAATATCTTGTTTTATCTTTTAATCTTTGTAACACTTCAGCCATCTTTCAGACCTATATAAATGAGATGCTGTGAGGCCTTGTCAACATCTTCTGCATAGTATACTTGAATGACATTCTAATCTTCTCAAAAATGAAGAAAGAACACAATACTCATGTTCAAGAAGTGTTGAGTCACTTGAGACAGTATCAACTCTATACAAATACTGAAAAATGCTCATTCTACATGCAGAAGATTGATTTCTTAGATTATGTTATTGAGATGAATAACATTTCAATGAACAGAAGCTGAGTCTCTGTCATTGAGAACTGGCCAGTGCTGCAGACATACTGTGAGATGCAGATGTTTCTAGAATTTGTGAATTTCTACAGACAATTCATCTATACATATTCACAGATTACTGCCCTTCTTACAGATCTGTTGAAGAGAAGTGTGAAAGATAGGAAAATAGAATTATTTACTCTCACTCAAGACACTGTGCAGATGTTTGCAGAATTGAAACAAGCTTTCACAGATATTATAATACTGAATCACTTTAATCTCAACTTACTCAGTCAGTGTGAGACTGATGTATTTAAGAATAAGATCTGTGAAATCTTTTCACAGTTGACACTGAAGACCTTTCAATATTGAAAGAATCAGAGAATAATTATTTCTGAGAAAACAGGCAATGAATTGTCTGTGAGAGAAGACTTTTTCACAGAGTCTATAAGATGCTGTAAATGAAGATCAGTGACCTTCTTCTTCAAGAAGTTATTACTCACACAGAGAAGGTATGATACTCATAATCAGAAGATGTTAGTAATTATCAAATTCTTTAAGATCTGATGACATTATCTTCAGAGTAGTAAGTACTCAGTGTAAGTTCTCACTGATCATGCAAATCTGCATTACTTCTTAATAACAAAGAGCTTGACAGAATGTCAAGCCAGGTGGGCAGAGCTGCTTTCAGAGTATGATTTCTATATTCAATATCATTCAGATTAACTTAATCTCACTGATATGCTGTCTAGACAGCCTGATTATAATATTGTTGATGTGAAGAAGAATTCTACAAAAGAATCTCTGTCATCACTGCAGAAGAAGCTGGCTGCAGAGAGTTGAGATTCTCTAAAGCTCAGAAATGATGCTGAAGAGACAGCTGCATGACTCAGTATAGAAGATGAAAGAGAACTCAGGTCTCTGTGAGAGACTGATACTGAAGATTATAAGCTTCTCATGTCACATCTTACAATCATTGAATTGATAAAGAATGAAACAGTCTATAATCTTTCAATCTGACTACTTTTGAAATTTATTAATAAGTTACAGAAGAGAGACATCTCTACTGCAGCTTGAATTCAGAAGTTGAAGAAGAAAGAGTCTGATTTGAACTTGAAAGAGACAGACTCTGAGCAGGGCAGTGCTGCTAAGAAATCAAGTCACTGATAACTAGAAGAATATGAACTTCTACTGCTGAATGATTTAGTCTTTGTCCCTTGTAGTAGAGCAGTGCATCAGAAGTTATTGAGAATTCATTATAATAATTCTCATATGAGGCACTTCAGATTAGAGAAGACTGAGAAGCTTCTAAAACATAAATACACTTAAGACAAGCTTCAGACAGATGTCAAAGAGTATATTGAGACTTATAATGTCTATCAAAGAATAAAGATCTCATGATATAAGCAATACAGTGAGTTAGCATCACTGCCTGTTTCAAAGAGCTCATGGCAGAACCTATCAATGAATTTCATAGTTGATCTGCTGAAGTCAACAAGAGTTAAAGAATATGACTCAATTTTGATCATTGTTGATCACTTCATGAAGATAATCAGATATATTCCTACTTATAAAAAGATTAAAGCCTCTGAATTGACTGACCTGTTTTTAGATATCATTATTCATAATCACAGTGCTCTGAAATTATTAATAACAGATCAAGAATCCCTCTTCATCAGCAAGTACTGATCAGCTTTTTACTATCATCTTATAATAAGATATCTTCTCAGTACTACTTTTCATCTGCAGATTGATGATCAGACTGAATATCAGAATCAGACACTAGAACAGCATCTTTAAGCATTCTATTCATATTATTAGAATGATTGACTTAAACATCTTCTAACTGCTGAATTTGTATATAACAATGCAAAGAATGCAATCTTAAAGATATCTTCTTTCTATGCTTATTATGAATATAATTCTTTGTTACTCAGTGACATTGTGAATGATGTTTCAAAGAGAGGAATAAGTAGTCAGAATGTTGAACAGGTATAGAGAACAGAGTATTTCTCAGTATCAGAAGTAAAAGTGAGATTGAAACTTTTGAATAAAATTCATGAGAAGACAGTGAAAAGTATTCACTATGCTCAGAAGCAGTAGATGAAATACTACAATTAAAAACATCTTCTAATGAAGTTCTCAATAGAAGATTAAGTGCTACTTTCAGCAAAGAATATCAAGATAACAAGACTGTGTAAGAAGCTTAGTAAGTAGTGACTAGAATCTTTCTCAGTAATAAGAGTGATGAATAAGCAGACATATGAGTTGAAATTACTCACAGAATTGAAATCAATTCATTCTATTTTTCACATTTTCTATTTGAAGCTCTATAAGCAACATCTCAGAGTGAAGCTGTCTCAGCTGAATAATATCAAGATCAAGAGTGATACTGAATATCTTGTGAAGAAAATATTGAATAAGTAAACACATTACAGCAAGCTTCAATATCTTGTTAAATAAGAAGATTATTCATTATCAGAGAATTCATGAGAATCACTTGAGTATTTGAAAAATGCTGAGAAAGAGATTACAATCTATGAGATGACTAGTAGAGACTGCTCTGTTACATGTCAGAGACATTGAATAAGAAATACTACTTAAGACTTCTCATTTTTCTTAAAGGATTTTTTTAGAGATAATCTCATAGTGATGAGCTGATGTCTTGTAAGCTCTGTAGTACTCTTCTTCTATTTTCTCTCAAAGAGTTTTTAGAAGTTTAATAAGACTATACAAGTGTAAAATTCCTGAAGCAGTTAGAGAAAAGAGATATTGAAAACTAATAAAAAAGATTAATATTATCAATCTGCAGGTCACTGCTATTCTAATAGAGTCACAGCTCACTGAAAAAGTAAAAAGAAGGATCAGAGTCTACTCATCAATAATCACACTCTCATCAAACTCATTCTTCACTGTTGAAGTCTTCAGCACTGATATCTTTGTCTGCTGAGAAGTTAGTACTGTGATACTGCAGAGAAGTATGCTGCAGAAGAGTATAAGAGATGCTAAAAGTATCAACTTATTAACTTATAAAGTATCTCAGTTATCTGTTTCAACTGAAGTGAGATTCTCTTCAATCAGTAATTGATCTCTGTGACACTTTCAACAGTAATATTAACTGATCTCTTCTTAAGATCAGTCATTCTGAGATGTTTTTTTATCTTAAAGATTCATACTTTCATCTTCTTTTACAGATAAGTAAGAGGAATCTTCTCAGTCTTGATGAAATCTATCAATGCTTGAAGCTCTGAGATTCTCACTCTGTACTACTTGAGTATCTAGACTTCTTGTCAGAACTGACATGATATCTTTCTGTGAGATGATACTTACAGAGAGACAGAAGTTGTTGTTGCAGATATAACAGAAATAATAGAAGTGAGAAAAGAAATGAGTATATAAAATCCCTCTCTTCTTCAGCTGCTTAGTACAGCACAGATAAGTAGTAGTACTGATCAGAGACTGTATCAGAGCCTTCTTATAGAAAGAAGATAAAGAAATCACAGAACTCTGCAGACTCAACTCAGCAGTATTCTGAGCAGGGCTTGAGTGTACTGTGAGAGAGAAACTATGAATTGAGCTTCTCAGAGTCACTGTCTTCAGAATCAAGCTCTTTCTGGGTTCCTCTTCAAATGATCACATGGGGTCATATGTCACTGTATTGACTGGGAGGGGGGGCAGCGTTGCAACAGCGGTGAGAGAAGTGAGAGACAGACTGAACACAGATGAACTGACTAGCAGAAGAGACAACACCTCACTGCAAGGCACAGTGACTACTGCCACAGCTGCAAAAGAAGTAGAAGAAGAAGAAGATGTGATAATGAGAGCAGTGCTCTCACAGCTCATTGACACTGCTGTCTTCACCTTTAATCTGACTTTCTTGACAGTCACAGAGGCCACTGCTGCATCATGAAGACATTTGTTACTCACTAGAAAACATCAGAATAAGCTCTTGATTGTTCTTCAAGAATGATACTTTCATACACTCACTATTGCAATTAAGAAGAGGGAAAGAAAAATGTTTCACAGAGAGAAGATCTTTTTGAAAAATCCTGTCACTACTGTTAGCTTTGTCTCTAAAATACATCACTTTTGCAGAGAATTTTATATATAGAATGAAATATGTTGAGAGATCTGCAAGTCACTTATTAACTACATTTTTCACATTTTAAATTAATATATAAGAAACTCACTTATCACACATTTGATTTGAACAATGATGAGAAAAGAAAGATCTACACAGTCAGCAGAAAAACTTATCTATTTCTTTATATCACACACAGCACATACACTGTCAATCAGTTGATAATCATTGCTATATAACAAAGATAATTTCTAATTCAGTAATCTTGAGAACATAGAGACTATGCTCTTAAAGAGAAGAGCATTGTCACACTTTCAGTCATATCAAGACTCTGTTACAGTTTCACACAGCTCATCACTTTCATGCAGATGATTTCATCTCATCTGAACTGGTTTTCAATCACTCTATGACATTATTCAGATGTATTATAGAAAGATCTGATTGATGAATATAAGAACTCTGCTTTTATATGAGATCAGCAGATTACTCTTTCTTGACAATGAGATGCTGCTGAGGTATCACTCCAGCTATTCTTGCTCATGAAATGAAAGAAGAGTATTCACTCATTGTCTATATAGAATAGCTAGATGCTGACTTCTCATCAAAGAAGTCAGTGATTTGTTTTTCTTCTACTGAAATATATACAAGAGTTACTGCATGTCTCATACAATCTTCTTAGTATACTAAGTATCATATCTGTGATATCCTCACAATAACCTTGTAGTCTATGAGCTTGCTATTTAAGCAAGATAGTCAAGCTCACTTATACAGCTTCTCAAACAACTACTTCTATGTAACATCACTGACTAGCCACCGCTTCGGTTCCGTCATGTTACAGTTATGTAGATGATATTGATCTACTCTACAGTTCAAAGACAATCAAAGAGAATTTAGAAGTGATTGAGAAAGTAGTAAAGGAAATTTTTATTAGAGCAGATATTAATCTAATTCAATTTAATATGAATAAAACTGAGCTAATTCACTTTTTTCTCAGGTTTAATAAGAAAGAACTAAGTCTAACTCTTTTGAATAAAGAGATTAAACCCAGTTTAAATGTCAAATGACTAGAAGTATGGTTAAACTCCAAGCTGAATTTTAAATATCATATTCAACAAAGAATCATCAAGGCAGAGAGACTACTGAATAGTATAATCAGACTATCAAATACTGAGAGAGGTCTATTCTTTCAGGCTATAAGACAGTTATACATAGTCTGTATTACCTCAGTAGCTGATTATGAAGTTCAAGTTTGATGAAATAATCAAGAAAACTTCACTGAACTCTTTCAAAGTCTATAAAACAGAGCTTTGAGAAGAATTCTGAGAGTATTCAAGTCATCTTCTATTAAAGCAATGGAAATTGAAGCTTCAATTCTACCTCCTGCTATTTGATTTGAAAAGGCCTGTATGAACTATGCTCTGAGAGTCATGAAGATGAGCTCAAATCATATAATCAGAGAAAGAGTCTCTTCTTCATTTCCATCAGTTAACTCAGAAAATGAACTGGATTGAAATAGATTTCTTGATTGAAATGAGAATAATACTTTAAAGAAAATGCTCTCTCAACTGTATAGACTATGTTCACTTATTAAGAATCAATTTTCTTCATTAAATGTTGAGAAAATTAATCATGAGAAGATATCTCCCTGGAGAGAAAAGCTGAAATCTCTCATAGACTTACAAATAAGTGAACTATCTAAAGAGAGAGAATATGAACAGCATTTGAAGAAGATCTCTACAATTAATATAAAAGACTCTATTCTGATCTACTCAGATGGCTCAAAAAATGAGAATTTGAATAGATTAGGCACAGGCATTGCTTATACTGAAGATAATATTAATTTTATCTCAGATTTCTGGAATTTAGGCTGTGAATCTGAAGTCTTTGATGCTGAACTATTTGCAATAGTGAAAGCTTTCAAACTCATTGAAATAAAATCTCATAAAAGAGGAAATGATTTGAAAGAGGCATGAATATTCTCTGATAGTCAAGCTGCTTTAAAAAGACTTAGAAATAGTCAGATTCATAATAATCAAATGAATCTTGAACTGATTTTAAACTCTGTTTTGAAAATTCAAAAGAGAAGAATATCAAAACTGATAATTCATCTGCATTGAGTTCCTGCTCATATGAATATTCATGGCAATGAATTGGCTGATTCAGCTGCAAAAAAGAGTTCAGAATTAAGCAGATCTATTCAAAAAACAGTGTCCTGGTCTTTCATAAAGAGAAAGATAAAAGAATCTTGTTTAAACAAGTGAAATGAAAGCTAGCAGAAACAAAAGAAGAGTATACATTATTCAAGATTTGAGACAAAATCAAAGTGGAAATCTTGTTCAATTAAATGTAAAAAGAAAATATTCTCATCTATAATTCAGCTGAAACTAGAACATGGTTATTTCAAATCTTATATACAAAGATTTGATGATAGATTTGATTCAACAGAGTGCTCATTCTGCAATGTGAATGAAAATCCTGAGTATATTGTAATGCATTGTGTATTATACAATAGTCTCAGAGTCAGATTAAAGAAGAAGTATGATTTAAATCAATTAAATATAAGATTCTTATTCTCAACTGAGACAGGAACTAAATACTTAATAGACTTTCTATCAGAAACTAGAGCAGCTATAAGAAAATGGCTGAATTCAGCAGTATCTGAATATGAAGAGGTGGAAATTGACTAGATATAGTCTGTTAAAACAGCTATACATCATCTTTTAATAATTTTGTTTTGTTATAGTCTCTCTTTACTGTACTTGTTTTCTTCTGTTCTTTTCTCTATCTATTTAATGTGTCTATCTTTAAGACTATGTTCTCTTTTCTTTTGTTATAATATTTTCAAATGATTTCAAACTATCAGAAGGTGTTGAAATACTGTAATTTGTAAACAGTTTTTGTATTCTGAGCTGGAATTTTCTGATTTTGCATATTTGAAATTGATAAATGTATAATAGTTGACTCTATAGATATAGGAAAAACCCTGAGAACTAAAAATTCTCAGATAGATATCATAGTCTCTGACTGTATACATCTATAATTAAAGAATAATAATAATAATAATCTACACAGCAGTTTTCAATAATGTATACACTTCTGAAGAGGTCATGAATGATTATGATGAAATCTTCAGATTCAGTATAGTTATCTATCTGTGTAAATGTTTAATTTTCTGCTGCAGATCTAAGATCTGATTTTCTCTATTCTTATTAATAATAGTGATTGTGTTAGCAAAGCTCTTCATAGTGAATGCTTAATTCACAGTGAATGTCAATTGTTGTTTGACTTTCATCTCAGTCTGTCACTGTGTACACAAGGCCTCAATCTCATTTAGAATTCTTATACACATATGAAGCTTCAATTTCAGTTCAGCAGTTTCAGTCACTTTTCTTACTGCTTTAAGTAAACTCTCTAAGAGATTCTGCATATCTTTCAGTTCAGGTAGTAGAGAAGAGTGTTATTCATATTAGCTAGAGAAGGTATTCATTTCAGTGATTTTCTTATTAATTATACAATGTCTATTATTATATCACTGTATCATTATATTACTATATCACTGTATTATTATATGATTTCTATTATTATTATATAACTCTGATGATGATCACTCTCTCTTTTATTCTTCTTTTGAGTAGAAAGCAGACTTCTTTGAATCTGATTCACTGCTTTCATTCTCTTTCTCACATCTCATTTATTCACATACATGGTATTTGCCTGAGTATGAAGTTTTCTCTTAATAAGCAAAGCAGTATCAATTAGATGCTCTTTCACTTATCACTCTTCATACACTATCTTTTGAGACATTCTAGAACCACACTGGCATAATAACTACAAATCACTTTATAGATGGAATTATCACACTCTGAAGAAGTCTGTACTTCTCATCAGTTTTTAGACATGCTATCAGATGTGATTCAAAGGTTGCTTAAGCCAGTGTACAATTACAGGCATACACTGGCTTCTTATATATTGAATCTCATATGCTAAATTAATTAGTGGCTGCTAGGGCCCCTCTTTACATTCGTACGCTAGTAGTTCGGAAGCGGCCGCGTTATTATCCGACGGTCGTACGTTCTTCCGAACCACAACTATATGAGATTATATGTCACTGTGTTGATTGAGAGAGAGAGCAGTGTTGCAACAGTGATGAGAAGAGCAGAGAAAGAACTGAATGCAGATGAATTAGCTAGCAGAAGAGATAACATCTCACTGTAAGACACAGCTACTACTGCTACAGCTGTCAGAGATGCTGAAGAGAGAGAAGAAATAACAATAAAAGCAGTACTCTCACAGCTCATTGACATCACTGTCTTTATCTTCAATTAAGCTTTCTTAATAGTCACAGAGACTGCAGCTGCATCATGAAGATATTTATTCACTAGAAAATATCAGAATAAGTTCTTGATTATTCTTCAAGAATAATACTCTCATACACTCACTGTTGCAATTGAAGAAGAGAAAAGAAAAATGTTTTATAAAAGAAGAAATCTTTTTGAAAAATCCTGTTACTACTGTTAGCTTTGTCTCTAAAAACACATTACTTTTGCAGAGAATTTCATATATAGAATAGAATATATTGAAAGATCTGTAAGTCACTTATTAACTATGTTTTTCATATTTTAAATTAATATATAAGAAACTCACTTATTACATATTTAATTTAAATGAAGATGAGAAAGAAAGATCTACACAGTTAGCAGAAAAACTCATCTATTTCTTTGTATCATACACAGCATATATACTGTTAATTAGTTAATAACTGTTACTATATAATAAAGATAATTTCTAATCTGATAATCTTGAGAGTATAGAAACTATACTCTTAAAGA